AGAGAAGTTACTGTGTACACAGGCCTTTGTCGTGGAATGCAGAGGGTCCTCACCACTGCAATTTAAATTCTTGGCCGTGGTCACCATAGTGGCCCTGGGGACAGAGAAAACTGTAGATTCTGCTCCACACACTGCCATTGGGATCTTCTCGTGAGCTTCTCTGGACCCGTGGGTGTGACATCCAAGACCCCTCTCCTCGTCCTGTTCGGATTGGTGACCTGTTTGGGGGCTCTCTTCCTGGTGGAGGCTTTGGGAGGCTAGAGGAGCTGTCTTGGTCTAGGTTTCCTCAGAAGCAGATCCTGGGCAAGGATTCAGGTGTAAGTAATTCATTTTATGGGGTAGGGGGTGTGATCCCAGGAAACAGCAGAGGGGAGTGGGAAGGGAGTCAGGGGAAGGAGGTAGCTGCTCCAGGTGTGTTATCAATTAAATCAAACCTGTGGACAAGAGCTTGACCATGCCTCAGAGCTTAACCCGGCCCAGCCATCCTGCCTGAGGGGTGAGGAGTGAGGGAGCCAAGTGTTCCTGCGCCAGCTCCCAACAGTCCTGGATGAGCACCTTTGGGGGGGATTAATTGCCAGCACTTCAGACCTCTTGGGCTCCGGGAAAGAACCTGCTCCCATAGTCAGAGAAATGTTCAAAAACCAGGCATGTCTGAGCAGGGTGGCACCTGGAGCCAGGAGAGCTCTGCTCTATCTCAGCAAATTACAGGAATTTAGGCAGAGGCTGTTAATCCCAGAGCAGCCTGAATCACATGAGGCTTTCCAATAACTTACATTACCTATGACTTCATCCCAGATGGCAGATGCTATCTGGTGCTCTGCCGTTTGCTGATTTTCGGGGCAGGTTTGGCTGTTTTGGTGATGGCTGATGATATTTTAGTATTTTAAACACTTGGTTTTGTGTGTGTGTGTGAATGTGTGTTAGTTATTACAAAGAGTTCCTTGTTTAAAGTTATATATACAGCTGCACTGAGACATTCCTGTTTTGTGGAGAGTAAATAGGTTTGAGTAAAATGAATATCTTAATAAAGAAATGGCACTATTATTTAAACATATAGAGCTCTGAGTTTCAGTAGAATAATAGTGGCTTCTTGGATCCAAATCTCATTACATAACTTCCAAAAAAAGTCACCCAAGTCAACAAATAGAGCGAATTAAAACCACCACTTACGCATGTCCACAGTATTAGTAGGAGACAGTTTCATAAACTTCAAGTTACTTATAAGGAGGGGAATAAATGCCCAGGTCCAGCCGGGTAGCTCCAGAGCCCACCCGTGTCTGAAGCGCTGGCAGAGACCACAGAAAATAAGTGAAGAATGAAAGGACAGAGTCTGGGGAGCCTGGGGCGACCGGCCTAGACATCACTCCTGGAAAGACAAGTCCTATCCTGAGTGGAAATACTTGAATGCATGGGGGACCCGGGGTAGCAGTCTTCGGAATGACGGGTTTCAAGATGGGGAAATTAGGAAGGGCACTTGCCCCTTGGAGACTGGGCACTGTGGGGAAAGCATGGCGAAAAGAATAAAATTTAGAGTCCTGCAGAGATAAAAGAATCACAAAATCACAGGATACCCTTCCTCCCTCCCAAGCAGCAGCACCATGCAATAGCTTGCACTTCACCATGTCAACAGTAGAGGGTACAATTGAATCAGAAACCTGGTTAACCACTCCAAGCCCTACACCTTTTCTGCATCAACTCATTGCTGTCCAGAAAAGAAAATCTGTTATAAAAGGAGCAGAAAGCGACAGACAACATGCAAGCAAAGCTTTAATCAAAAGAAAAACTGTTTGACAATCAAAACATTTCAGGGTTTGAATATTCTCACCCCCTGTAAACACACACGCACACGCACACATACATACAAGCAGAAGAAAAGGGCAGTATTGTGTCCGAACGTTAATTAAGTATCCTGAGACAAACATTTTCATATATATATAACCCTGAATCAAAACTTCAAAAACTTAAAACCAAAATGGATAAAACCCAGGAAGACGTGAAATGAAAGTTGGCTGAACTCAAAAGAGGAAATTAGGGAGATCAGGATGGCAGTGGAGTAGGTAGAAGTTACACTCACCTCCTCCCCGGTCCAAACTGGAATTACAACTAAAATCTAGAACAATCAACCTGAAGAACCAACTGAAGACTAGCTGAACAGAAGGCATATAACGAAGGATTTATAGAAGAAGCCACATGGAGACTGGTAGGAGGGGCGGAGACGGGAAAAGGGCTGGCCTCGCACCCATGTACAGATGTTAAGAATCCGCAGGGATATCTCAGCTGTAAAGGCTCTTCCCGAGGACTGTAGGGTTTCAACCCCATGCAGAGCTCCCCAGCCCGGAGCACCGGTGCTGGGAAGAGCAGCCCACGTGTCAGCTGGCTGTGAAAATCAGTGTGGATTCTGTCCACCAGGGAGAGACTGGAGTCTGCTAGAATCTTGTAACAAACCCAATTTAGTAAGATTATGGCACAATGTTTTCTTTTAACACTTATTAACATTGGTATCCTTGGTTGGCAGCCTGTTCTCTTCAACCTGCTTTTTACCTTGAGGGTTTTAGGTTTTAAATACTTTAAAAGGGCTGCAGAATTTCCCATGAAAATAGTGACTCGGTATTTCTCACAGCGCATTGCTCAATCAACATTTATTTAATTAATGAATAGTTGTGATCAAGATACTTCCCATATATTAGTTTTCCTCCATAGAGGAGTTACGTGAAAACTTATAACTTAAAACTGTGAAGGTTAGAAACACTTTACTGTACCCTGGAGAAATTTTAGTCTGCTAAGAAACCAATATGTTTGAAATGAATTTGCATTTCTCTTAGGAACATAACCATGTTGAAGTTTAATAACCAAATTGAAAACAGATGCCCTTTGCTGAGGAAATGCTTCTTGTGTCCACATGCTGTGAGACCAATCCAGCAAGGTCGGACAGCTGCCCAAGTCGTTCCAGCTGCTTCACCCCGACCCAAGGGAAGCCTCAGTCAGTCTGCTTCTCTTGTTAATACACAATTATATTTTTCTTACATAAAGACAGTCTTTACGGTGCTGGTGTTTTAAGTTTCTGTATGTAAGATTTTATAACATGTGTCATATGTGTCACGTGTAATAAGCTCAGTTTAGCATCTCTTTTGGTTGGTCTGGGTTTGGCTAGTTATTGTATTTTTCAAAGTCAAAACCCCTGTGGAAGTTGACTAATAACATTTTGCCTGGTGGATTTTTCCCACGGGTGCTCAAAAAACCCTTTGTCTTAAACACTTACGGATGTGACTTCAGCAACATTAGTGAAAACTGGATACTGGCAGCAACACTGAATTCTGTTAATCCCATGTGGAGAGAGCACTGGATGCCTAAAACTATAGTCCGATGTTGGAAGCATTATAACTATTGAGAGACTGCTGGTGATGGCAAACCCGTTTCTGTGTAAGGCCAGATGTGTGTATCAGCCTCCCTAGTGTACTATTTTGTTAAATTCAGAATGGAAATACATGCCAGGATGCTAAGACTCAGTCAGCGAGCATTAGTGCCAACACTTGCTTCCTGATCCATATACTGTGTGAGGCCCATGGTACATGGACAAAGACAGATTTAAAACCAACGCCCCCTGAGCAACACATTGAAACAGGCTCTAAGAGCTCTAAGTTTGGGGGTCCACAGTGTAACTGTTAAAGGATTATTCAAATAAACAAAATGTTGTATGATAATAGAGATTGGAAGTCATAGTTAATGGGCAGAGCATAACATACATTGTCTTATGTACGTACAAGAGGAAATTGTGCATGTTTTACCTTTCTTTTGTAAAAATGAAAGATTTGGCAGTTTAATAAAGATTGAGTGGGCATCTGTAAGTATGGGCTTATTCTCTGGGGTTCACATATGGTCTTTAGAAGTTTTTGAGATACGTTTTTATTTCAAGGATAATATTTAATAACTCATCTAACTATATTCTGGGTCATCTAAGACTGTTTTTTAAACTGTGGGTCATGACCCCCTAGTGGACTGTCACCCATGAAATAAAAGTGAGTGGAATGAAAAACATCAGAATGCATAAGATTTAAGTATTATTTTATAACATGTTTGTTTTTATTTCGCATGTGTGTGTGAGTATGGGTCATAATGTGAAGTGTATTTATTACTGTGGGCAGAAGTCAAAAGAGCCTGGCTACAAGGCTCACCTCTTCAAGGGCTCTGAGCCCTGACTGCACACCTGAGAAGTTTTATACAAACACCATGCCCAGACCACACTCAAATCAATTACAGCAAATTTCTGGGGGTGGGACCTATGTAACCCTATTTTTCAAAGCCCATTGGGTGATTCCAGTTTGCAGCAAAGATTGAGAACCAGTGACCTAGGGATTAATGACAAGGGAGTTGAGATTGTGAAATATTAAAGAGTTTTTTTAAAAATATATCTTTATTGATTTCAGAGAGAGGAAGGAAGAGGGGGAGCGAGAGAGAGAGAAACATCAATGATGAGAGAGTCATTGATCGGCTGCAGCCCACAACCCGGGCATGTGCCCTGACCGGGAATCGAACCCTGACTGCCTGGATCCTAGGTCGATGCTCAACCTCTGAGCCACGCCCGGCTGGGCAATAAAAGAGTTTTTTAAAATGAGATCGTCGTCTTAGGCTGATGTAGGGATGTGTGATGAGATACCCTGAGAATGAAACAAAGAAAGTGCAGGATGGCACACAATAAATATTTATTTAGAAAAGAACCACACACATGTGAGAAGGAGAGAGAGGGAGGGATTGAATATTTGAACGCACAGATCTGTAAAGATATAATCGCAAATTATAACAGTGTTCACCTCTGACAGGGATCCAGGCTGCAGGTATTAGTGGTGATCGTCAAAGAAATTTGAGCTTTGATCTTACACTTGTGCTTGGTGTTCGGTCTGTTTGCAGGTTCGATGACTGCATGTATCCACTTAATTTTGACAAGGTATGGTATCGATGCAAAAAAATGAAATAGGGGATAATTTGGGAATTTCATATTCAGGTTATTTCTATCTCTAAATCCTAGACTAGAAGATTACAGGACTGTTTAAATTTGTACGAGCTAATTTGATGCAAGGAGTAAAGGAATAAAAAATGGTCACTTAATTGATAGAAAATACTAATTGACTAACTGATCATTGCTGATTAGTTTTCTTGTTTGTTTGTTTTAAGAGGAAGACTGTTTGGAGCTTTTTTTTTAAGAGGAAGACTGTTTGGAATTATTTTTTTAAGAGGAAGACTGTTTGGAGTTGTTTTTTTAAGAGGAAGACTGTTTGGGGTTTTAGAAATCTGAGCCTTGGCATAGGGAACATTTTGCTAAAGGATTCCCTCTTCAGCTACCTGGCCCAGGGGTGGGGCTGATGGATCGAACAGGATGGGAAGCCATCCACTGTGCTCCCATCTATCAGTGCCTCCTCCCAGGGCCAAGTGGGAGGGAAGTCCTCTGTGTGGTGTTCACGGTATTTTTTTTTAAATGCGTAAGAAACTCTAAATATTTGGTTCTTTGTGTTGTAGATGGACACAAGAGATCCGGACTTCTGAACTTCTCCTGGAAAAATAAAATGCTCAGGCCCTTTACGATGCCGGGGAGGTTGGGGCCGGACTAAACAGAGGAGAGGAGACATGCTGGCGTGAAGGGTATGTAGAAGTTATCAACCCCCAAACCCGCTTCCAGGCCCTTCAGTGCGGGGGGAATATTGTGGGCTCTGGCTCGGGTGTGTCGGTGTGGATGTGACTTCTGTCTGACAGAGGGCCAGGTGCTTTCCTGCTTCCAGGTAATCTGGAGGATTAACTTTATAATGCATCGGCCACAGGGCCGAGCCAAGATCCAGAGAGCGCAGGAGCCCCAAGACCATGAAATATAACCGCTCACAATTACGGAGCACTACGTGCCAGGCACGGCTCTAAGCACTTTACTGGATTAATTCATTGAATTCTCACCGTGGCACCATGAGATAGGCACTGCTGTTGGCCACGTCCTAGACGTGGGGACACCAGGGGGCACAAAGAACCGGGTCAGTTACTGAGAGGGAACAGTCCTGATGGTGGGGCCCTGTCCCAGCATAAAAGCTGCATTCCTCTTGCTCCCTCTCTCCTACTTCCCTTTCCTCTTGTCCCTAGCTTTCATCTATTTTTTTCATATGATCAGAGATCTCCACGTTGAAAGGGAATTAGCATGAAAGGGGTATCAGTATAGGTCACTAGGATAGATCATACTTTCCAAAACTAGCAACAGCATTATTGCTGCTCTTGCAGGACCTTCCCACACCCCCTCAAGCTGGGAGCTTTACTGTTTCTTCTCTTGGTGGCATCTGTGTGGGACGAGTGACAACCTGGACAGAGAGAATGGGCAGAAGTGATACTGAGTGACTTCAACGTGGAGATCAACATAGGTGACATGGTGTCCCCCTGACTCTCTCATTTTTTTGGGATGTTTGCCTTTGAGACCAGCCACCATGATGTGAGGAAGCCCGAGCTCCAAAGAAAGGCCATGTGGAGATAGTCCAGCCGACAACTCCACCTAAGCCCCACTGACCTGGGAGCGAGACTTTGGAAGGCTCCGGCCCCCAGCCTTGGAGCTGCTCCCATGGATGCTGAGTGGAGCTGGGACAAGCTGGCTTTGATGAACCACCCTGCTGAGCCCTGCCCCCATAGCAGATTCAGGAGCAAAATAAGCCTTGTCATTGTTTTGAGTGATCTCCTTTAAACCCACTGCAACACCACCTCCATTCATTTACAAGTAAGAGAATGGAGGCCGAGTGAGATGAAGTGACTTACCCAAGGCCACACAACGAGATGGGATTTGAACCTAGGGCTCCCTGACACTAAGCTTGTGAGATCCACCCCGGCCCCCACTGCTTGCTCCTTCTGGGCCAGGAGCTGGGGACTTTGCTGCCCCTCAGACATAACTGCTCTTAGAGAAAACAAACCCATTTGGAGTAACAGGACAAGAGAGTAACTTTGGAGAACTAACTTTACATAGTCTGTTGTGACTGTTTCCTTAATTTGAACCCTAGGTCGATGCTGTTGGTACTGGCTTAAACACACAATTCTCTCAGGAAGCCGTCTGCCTTCTTTCTGTGAGCTTAGGTTCTGTGGTTTCTGCTTAGGTTACACGAGATACTTTTTCATATCATGGAAAGCGATAATCATTTGTGCAATTGAGTGATTCCATATCATCAGTGTTTCTACTTATTGTTTGACTTCAGGTTCCTTGAGGTCAGGGCTTGGTCTGTGTCTCATGTGTCCCATTTCTCCTAGCACAGACTCTAACCTGTGGTAGACAGTGAATAAATGCAAGTTAAATAAACACCAAAGAGCACTGTATGTGATTTTTTTTAGAATGATGACGATGGGATAAAGAAGTGCAAAATTCTGGGCATGAGTCTTACCTCAGTGCTAAAGGTTTGTCTTTGGGGTTCAGAGGCTTCTTCGCTTTCTCTATTTTTCCTGTTAGATAGAACATCTTTGTGGGCTTGGCTGCTTTTATAAACTGGGGACAAGGCGGGCTTGTGTGGGAAAGCAGGCTTATGGAAAAGGTGGGCTTGTGAAGGGTTCTGGATGGAAATTTCCACGTCAGGGTGGGGTTATTTCCTCCTGTCTAGTTGCTTGGCAGCTATCTCTGTGCCCGTGGGCTGTGGGGGCAAGGTGGCTGTGTCACTCGTTACTGGCACCCAGGAAGGCCAGGTCTAAGCCAAACCTTGATCAGCTGTGCATGTGGACAGTGGTTTCAACATCGGCTAGAAAGTGGTGAGAAGGGAGATAAGACATTTCTCCTAGGGACTGGAGGGGTGGTTACATTCCTGTGTTTGGCTTATTGGTGTTTTTTCTGGCCACCTGGTGTCCTTGGGATTCTGCATCAGTTCTTACTGTGCAACACACCACCCCAAAGTCAGTGGGCAAATTCATAATAAGCATTTATTTAGATCACCAACTAACAGTTGGCTGGGGCTTGGCTGATCTGGGTCAGGCTAATGTACATGGGGTGGGGGGGTGGCTGATCCAGGCTGAACATAGCTGGGTCACTCTGCTTCCTGCACAGGTCCAGCGAGACTTGGCTTCTCGCCAGGGTCCAGGTTCAGGCCTGCTCCACCTGAGAACTCTAAGTCCAGCTTGTGGGCTGAAGGCTACCCGAGGGAAGCTCTTCTTACGTCCCCGACAACGGCATGGTTCGGGGGAAACCCTAGAAGCTTCCTAACCGACACCTTTGTGTTATTGCATTGACCTAAGCAGGTCACGTGGCCACACCCAAGCCAAGAGGCAAAGAGGTATATTCTGCCTTTACTGGGGATGTTCCTATTATTGGCCTTGGCTTAGGATCTGCCGAGCTTCCTCTGCCTTCTGCCAAATTGGGCAAATGCGATGGGAAATTTAACAGCCTTTACCAGTGCCAGTTTCAGTTATCACTTTAGGCATAAATCCAGCTCCTTGATATTGCAATTTGTTGTTAATGGGAGATGACATGGTTATTAAAAGCGGCGCACTCTCGGGTTCTCAAACCTCTTTGTTCACTCAGACCTCAGCTGGGGATTGCTGCCTTATCACATACCATAGCTTGGTTTACCGTGGACTCGTGAAGTGTCTGGAGTTGTTGAGCTTCTCTCCCCCACAGTGACATCTTGTTACCACCTTGGCAGCTGCCTAAAATGGTTAGACTTGGCGTCTGCACATACCAGTTGCTCAGGCTCCTCAGAATGAAACATGAGCAGCAAGTGGGGTGAATAAATTGTCAATTACATTGATGTGTATATTTCCCTACATTTTAGGAGAAGGATTTGAATTCTGTAAAAATGTCATTTCTTGCTCCTCTCAGTACCTTGGCTGTCTCGTCTGGCACTAATATACTTCAGCTGGAAGGAGAAGAGGCAAAGCTTTGATGTTGGTTGGAATTTGCAGCCATAAATTCACAGGATTTTCCAAGTTAGCATGGAAAAGACTCGCAGTTTTTATGCTTTTCGTGAGTTGTAAGTCATAAAGCATATGCTAAGGGTGGCTTGACTGTTGTGTTCTTGGCCCTGCTGTGGTCTGTGGAAGAAACCTAAGCCTCGAGTGATTAAACATCTTTCCAAACACTTGTAAGTTAATTATACTGTGTCCATGGGTTGGCCAGGCAAGCAAGTGAACACAGACCTTGATGCTAGCATCTTAGCCATGGCACCTTATATGTCCCAGTGGAGCATTCTAATGAACCCATTGATGAAATCGTATGCCTTATTAGGACTGCTAATTGCCTGTGGACTTAGTACCTTGTTGCCGTCTTTATAAATGCATAAGGTTGAGCGGAAAGCACCAGACGTATGAGCCAATCAATAAGTGTTACTTCTTGGTGGCAGTTTATTATGGGGTCGCCTCAGCGTAGACCCTGAAACAAGGATTTAGATGCAAGTAATTTATTTGGTAGATGATTCTAGGCAAGATGATGGGGGAGTGGGGAAATGAGACAGGGAAGGGAAAGCAATTGTGTTAATGAGCAGATTCCCACTGTGGGCATCTGAGGAGCTCTGGAAGAGGGTGTTGACCTCGCCTCGGAGTTGCTTCACTCAAGGAGTGAGGATGCTGGGTATTACCCACCAGCTCCTATCTGTCATTGGTAAGGACCATTCTGAGGGACAGTAACTCCCTGGTGCGCCCATGAGTGAGTCAAGGGTTCTCCTGCCATGGGTAATTGCAGTGCTGATGGCACATGGGTGAGGCACCATTAATGTCTGCCAGGAGGTGCTCCAGAGATTTTGAGGAATGAAAGGAGGAAATTTGTAGCTTTCAGATCTGAGGACAGCAGAAGCTAAATATTATGGCTATGATTTTTTTTGATTTTTTTTTTTGCATGGCTATTTAATTTATTTAAATTTTGGCACAGCCATACAATGACACATTATACAACCACTAACAAAAGAGGGAGAGCTACTATACTGATCCGAAACTCTCTTCAAGTTATAGTTTTGAGCAGAAAGAAGGCACAGAACAATAATATCTAGAATATGCTTCCATTTATAAAAACAGCTTTATCAGAATATCATTTACATTTCATAAACTTCACAGATTTTGTGTTATAGTAAATTGATAGTTTTCTAGAAATTTCATGTAAATGGAATCATACAATATGTGATCGTTTGTATCTGACTACTTTCATTCAGCGTAATATTATTAAAGTCATTCGTGTTGTAGCATTTGTTAATAGTGTATTCCCTTTTTACTGTGGAATAGTATTTCCTTGTACGAATATATCACTGTTTTTGCTTAGGCACTGTTTATAGACATTTAGATTGTTTTTAGTTTTAATATTATAAATAATGCTGCTATATATTTTTATTTTATATTGGCTCCTTTTTTCTTATAACAAATACCAACTTCACTAAAAATAACTCATTTCTTTTTATGTAACTACCTTAGGCATTAGAGTAGTTTGATTTTGCCATAGAGTTATTAGGCTTTATTTTTAAATTTGCCTTTCCTTTCTTCTTTGAACTTTGAAAAAGCAGAAGTGACGCTGACGTGTTCTGTGTGGTATTTGCCAATGCGTGAGAGTGTGTGTATGGCTTTAATTATTAGTTGTTTTTTTCTCCTTCAACCTTTCAGTTAATGTGAATCACACTGTATTTTCCACTCCTGAGCACTGTGATTCATTGCGATCTACTTCC